AAATGGATCAAGGAGCAACAGCCCATATCCTCCCAGATCTGGAGAAGGAATTAACACAACCTTGAAAACATAACATATTTAAAAATAATACTGAGAACAGAAACATCTGCCACCTGGAAACAAGACACAGCTTTAAAATAAAAAAAAAGAGCATCGGATGTTTGGCTCTTTCTGAAAATCTGAGCACTGCTTACAGATACCTATGGATATGGATGTGCCATTTATTACCTCTTTTGCTTTAATCTTGAGTGCAGTGCATATGAAATATTGTTTTTTTATATCTTCATTGCAATTCAGCTTGTTGACATTTATATGACAGTCATTAAAATTATAGTCCTAATAAATTGCTATTAGAATGTGTATTGGTTTATCAGCTAGTAAATGTATTTTAATGTCTAGCAGAGAATTTAAAAATAAAACATTGTCAACCTTATTAAATTCACACACTATTTTCCCCCTAAGGAATAGTTTTATTTATACTATATATATCATAAAAATTAACACAGAAAAAGAATGAAATAAAAAGAAAAAAATAACAGTAGAAATTGTGAAACAACATGAATATATGCTTTTTAATTTTTTTTCCAGAAGAAACACTAATGAGAGAAAAAAACAGCATAAAAAGCTTTTATTGAATTGTCCTTGCAGAGTGTAAGTGCTGTATGCAAAATTATTTTAAAACATACTTCTCTGAGACGACAAAAAAAAAGTTAATAATTATTGTGTAACATAAAATATAGCATGTTACAGCTTGCCATCTGAGAGTAGCTGCCCTATCTCTGGCAAATATTTGCTTCATGATCCTCATCATCTAGTGCGGAAAGTTGCAATTTTCTAGCTATCATCAGAAAACGAGATGCAAACTGAGAAACAGGACAGTGAAGTGAAAGGCAGTACAGTTAAACATGGTTTTCATTTACTAACAGATTAGGGCTATGGTGTCTGTGGGCATTTTCTGTCCAGTTTGGTTGTCTGAAGTTGTCTTATATTTTCACGTAACTCTTTTGAATACCTGCAGGGTGGATGCCAGCGGGAGTGCTGGATTGCCAGAAGTCAGGGTGCTGATCAAATCAGTTTTGTACTGTATGAGTAAATATGCAGTAAAATTTCTTGAGGCTTCAGGTGTTCTATATATGTGCCGTGCAGATCAGCTGTAAATCTTACCTGCTATAAATCCAAGTCCGGGTCAAATTAAACATACTGCTCGTGCACTGAATGCAGCGTTTTTACATGCACAATAAATTGGAAAGCCTGACACCTGATGAATTTCCTGCCCCTGAGACAGCCAGCCATGGAGCGCATGCATTTTTATTCCTCTCTGGAAAACTTTGAACGAAAAAAAAGCAGCCTTGGTATGAGGGAGCAAAAGAAAAACAGGTGTAGGTAGCTGGTGCAAATAACAGCCTGGAGACTGTTTTAATTGCAAAATAAAATGGGTGCACAGAATACTTGGAACATTTGTGCCAAACAGACTATTCTGGTGTATATTCCTGCATATAAAATCAGATTTGGTGCTTGAAACCAAAAATAAACAAAAAATCCATCATAAATATTCTGCTTAGAATACTATTCTGAAAAGAAAAAGAGAATATTTATTCATTTCACCGTATACTTTATCTGACTTAATTGAAAGACAAAGAAAATAAATCATAAATACTAGTAACTGAATGACAAAACTTGAAGGCCTTACTAGTCCAGCACTATTCTGTTGCTGTGCAGATGCAATCACACCGGTGACCTTAGGGCTCTTGGAGCCCAACGGCACTGGACAGGCTGCTGACCTTACACAAACTGTGCATTACAGAGCGGTTTTAATCCTTTTAATGTTTAAGAGGAGAAGAATAATTTCCCATCTCATATCACAAGCTTAGCTTCAACTTTTAGATAAGGATGGCCTGTGAGCACTTGCAGGACATGTCCGTCTGCTCTTGGCAGTTAATTTAAGTCCCACTGTTTTATTATAGTGCATAAGGAACTAAACCATCATCATCCTTTCAGTGAATCATTACTGCTCACCTATAAAAAAGTCTGAGGTGAAAATGAGAGATAATAACCAGCATTAATGAAATCACCAGAGAAAGGTGCCCGTTTAAAGGAAGCAGAGGAATACAGTTCTATGTCCTATCATGGCCTGGTGTGCTTCATGTTTTCAGGACTGCTTCACTATTCTGTTCCTAAGAAATCATCCTTTATTCTGTGTCTGGATTTCAACAACTTCAATTTGTACTGTAAATCATCAACTTCTAATTAAAGTCATTCCCAACATTTGCAAAATTTTTGTGATGACACAGGGTGGGAATCACCTCACCTGGCTCTAGAAGTCAGAATGCTGGAGGTAGTGAACACCAGCTCCCCAAGGATAGATGCGTGTCTGTCTATGATACTTGTGATTTCTCTTCAGGTGAATTTGCCTGTTTGTGCCTTGATGGTATTCTCATTGACCACACAAAACATTATGAACTTCAGGATTAGAACGTTTCAATTGCATTCTTTCAATAGTTTCTCAAAATGACATTTCAGGGATTTCTTGATTATTCGACTTCTAAAACTTCTACTTGTTTCTGCTTTAATGTCTCAGAACATTAGTGTTCTTTAATAAAGTTTTAGTCGCTATGATCACACTAAATATGAGAATGGGACCTTCATGGCAAGGTTTGACTCCAACTATTCATATCCAGAGGTGTCCTCTAATTGATAAAAACAACCACCACGCTAATATAGTACATGAAGCAGCAGTTACCCACTCAACTGAGGCCCATCTGTATGCGCAGCTCTAGAGGGTGACCTGGAGAGGGACCCAGCACCAGCTCCTGGATGGACTCAGAGCCCAAGGCCACCTGCTGAAGGGGCCCCTCACCTGTTGGCACCCATGGGTGCCCTGGCCCCTGGCTCATAGATCTGCACACCCCAGGAACAGAGAACCCAGGCCCAGAGCCAGGATCCTGCACCCACACACACAGCTGTGCCTCATCAGCCACCCTTCTCCCTGGCCAACCCCAGGGGTGCAGGATGAGACCTCACATCGGGCCCCTCCGTGTTCACCAATGCTGTGTGTGCCAGCTACATGTGTGTATGCTGGACACACACACACTCACGTGGTGCCCCCTAGGAAAACAGGCTCAGCCTCAGCCTGGCTGGACCACGATGCTGAGCTGAGCGGCCTTGCCGCACCAGGCCACCAGCCTGCACTTGTGCATCCCTCTCTCCACAGATGCTGCCTCCACAGCCAAAAGCTGCCTGCAAGACTGCAACCAGCCTTTTAACTTCATGTTCTTTGTCTAATTCTGACTGCATGCATGATTTTTAGCCTGTAAAGGTAGAAAAACTGAAGTGTATCTTGTATTTCCAAAGTCTATCTTTACATATCTTAATAAAGTCTTTTCTTTTTTTTTTCTCTATTAAGCGCCAGAGCAGAACCCCTACTTTAGAGGTGCACTCAGAGGGAGAAAGGCATAGTATTTTAAAAATGCGCTTAATGAGATGACTCATTCAGGTTACTATTATGACTTCCCAAGAGCTACTTCTAAAAGGAGGAAATTAAGTTTCACACTCCGTTCCTCAGAACCCCAGAGAGAAAATACACATATTGCACATGACGACCTCTTCACTCTTTTTCTAATTTATAGCTTCACCAGTTGCTTGCATTCAATGAATACTCATATTTAAAGAATAAAATTTCAAACTGTGAGAAAACTTGAGTGTAACCAGAAAACAATTGTGATGGGACACTTGATACTGCTCTTTTTCACCTTTCAAGGTCCTCACTACACATGCACAGCAAAACTGAACACTAAAGTGGGGACCATTTCTTGATATTTCAGTGGATCACACTTTAAATTTATGTAGAGTTTGTGCCTAGTATGAGGCTTTTGTTATCTTACAGTTAAATTCTTCTATGTCTCAAATTAAAGGGACATAATTCAAAGCAGCAGCTTTTACAGGCATCCTCCATTAGAACATGTATTTGCCATACATATAAAAGACACACCTTCATCCTCTTCCTTTAAAACACTCTTTTCCTCCCCTTATTTTTAAATTCGTTTCTCTATATAAAGAGATGTGTGGGTCAGCTGTTAGTGCTGCTCTGTAAATCAAAGGTTCAAGACCCTATTCTGCCTCTATGACCTTGATCCACTGTTATCTTTATCTTCCACTGCTAAATAAAAATTAAGGAGCTTGACTGAAGACTAAAGTAGCAGATGATGCAGTGAACTGCAGTGATTATTCTCCCAGGCTGCTACTTTCAGGTAATCAGCACAGCACAGTGTGTGAAAATATACACAGTTAACTATTTGTTTTCCTCCTTTTTAGGACAGCTGTATTGAGAATTACCTCTGATGTGGAAGGAAAGGAAAACGAAGTCACACAAAGAGCTGTGAGGAGCAGGCCTTAATAACAGCCACTTCCTTCTCTCAGTTCAGTAAAGTTATGCTAGTGAGGAAGTGATTAGGATACGACAGATACTTCCTTTCTTGCTTTTCCTTGAAATCAGTAACAGTAAGACTATAGTCACACTCCATAGTTTCCTGCTCAAGTCCTTTACCTGAATAAATTATAATAAGCATTCTTTAACATAACAATTTTTAGATTTAAAATGCAGCACAGTCATCTCAAAAGTCTTTAGACATAAACATAATATTAAAAAAAACCCATTGATAGTGTATCTGTGAAACAGAAAGGGCAGTTAGCAATGTAAGACTTGAGGCTTTCTGATACCTTTTATGTACGAACAGGCAGCTGACATCATGGCAGATGATGGTATCTGTCTAATAAAATTTAAAATGACGGTAAACAGAGAACCTTACAAGGTGACAACTCTGAGTACTCGTGCTAAAGTATTTTCTTATCCTATATGCTCTTGTAACATCTTCAGCTAATAGATGCACACAAAGTGAAGGAACTGCAATCAGAAATTCACACGGATGCTTCCTTTGTCTTTCCAACAAGTGACACTAACTTACAAAAGATATATAGAAGCATAAGAGACACTAACTATTAAAAAGTCCTTTATTAAAATATCACATGTAACTCAAAACACACAATTAGCTGATTGCTAACTGAAAACAGAAGACACTGACAAAGATTCATCTATTTTGTTGTATTTTCTGAAGAAGATATTCCATCTGCAAGTTTAGATTTGGCTGTCCTTTTTTAGTCTTCTTACTCAGCATTTTATAAACTTCCATTTTCTTTTGCCTATATAACCGCTGAGCTGCTTCTCTTTGCTGTTTTCTTTTTTCAGCTTCCTGAAATAAAAGAGAAATGATTATGTCAAAATAATTTAAAACCTTCTACACTTGACAAATTGCTATATAATCAACTTAATTCCGGGAAAATACTGGCAATTAGGTATTGTACTAACAGTAGCAACACAATCACTCTTACAAGCTTAACTGACTCTCCTCTAGGGCATACCACAATCAAAACACACAATATTTTGTACAAAGTCTCAAGAGAAAAGCCGTGTTTTCTTTAGCAAATATATTACCATAAAGCTTGTCACTGAAGGAGGCTTGACTTTTCCTGCAAAATGATCTCCTTTTTTACTCCTTAAATGAGAAAATACCAACATTTTTCCATCTTCTAGACTTGAGTGCAAGATGGAAAGAATGAACACTATTCTGCTGCCCCCATATAAGTGTCTTGCAATTTGAGGTTTGCTAGGAGACTAGAGAAAGCTGCATGGGCCTGAACGACAAACATGGAACATGTCTGGGACATTACCTGTCTTTAGCATTAGCTGTATTAAAACCTGAACTTATAATCAAACTCCAAAATATGTAACTTCCCCTAGAACAAAGATTAAAAGTTTAGCTTTAATAAACCTACTCTTGAATTCAGTACAGCTAAGCTACAGAAATTTTCGGTTTTGTCAAACCACATATACTAATGCAATTTTTATACATTAGTTACTGGAATTTAGTTTGATAGTAGTGGAAGTTGTACAACTTTTACAGTGTTCCAATGTCTGCCATTCCATAGCCCAATCAACAGTGAAGAGAGAAAAATTCTAAATAAATAAGGATGCCTCAAATGAGTCACTCAATTTATCCAGTAATGACAATATTAAGATACACACCATAAGCGTAAGTCACATTAAATTAGTATGAGGAAAAAATTACTCTGAATATCTGAATATCTGAATTTTAATGTCAATTTGAAAGAGAATGAAAGAATACGAGTGCCCATGTTTCCCTCATACAGTCCCTGTTCTGACCAACAGATAGGTAATAACAGTATTATCCTAGATATTATCCTAGATATATCCTAGGTAGTCCTAGACTACAGTCGAGAGAGATCTCTGAGATTTACCTCTTTCTTCCTGGCACGTTCAGCCTTTATTTTCTCATACTCTTCCTTTGCCTTCTGATTGGATGTTTTCTTCTTAAACTTCCTTTCAGTTGTAACTGGCCTATAATTAAAAAGCACAAATCCTCAGCACACAGAACATCACTTAGCACACTTCACCACCTATCCCTTTGCCACTGCAGATTCAGAGGATAATCCTCGCAACCTTGTAAGATTTACAGACTAGGTCAGCCTTACTTCTCACCTAATGCCTAAGAATAGGTGCCTTCGTGCACTCTTTTTACACCATATTCACTCACAGTGAATATCTAGCATAAAAATGTAGATTTTTTTAAGTATACTGAAGACTTGACTGCTCAGACTGTCATACCTTATTCCCTGGAACTTCTTGCACCAGAAAGTCCAAATTAAGAAAAAAACAAAGTGACTGTCTGAGATTCTATGTCACCACTACTTCTGTATGTTGTTGTTTTTTCCAGTTAACCTAGTTCTCTATTTTTTTTCAAATTCACATTAAAGGTATTGCATAAACAATGTGTTAGCAAAGACATTGACAAATTCCACACTAAAATTTATATGCCTTGCTAGTTTTTTCAACAACTGCTGCAAAAACAAGTTGTCATTTCTCAATTATTCACTATTTAAATTGGAAAGCTAGCCATAATCACATAGGACACCTCAGACAGACAACTAGAGAGAAAAATGAATACTCTGACTTATGCTTTCAGTTAGAAATACCACTCTATTCTGTTGTTCAGGAGAGAAAAAGAAAAGAAACAAGTGATTATTCTGAACTCCATCATGTGGCAATACGAGGTTACAGCACTTCAACTTGCCAAGTGAGAAAAACAGTGACAGAAGCTAAAAATGGAATTAGTTTAGTGAAAAGTTATGTTCGCATAAACCACTAAAGTCTACCTAAAATCTCTATGTACTGCTGCACCTCATAGATTATCAGTCATAATTACTCAGAATTATTTTGTTTTTTAATCAAAATCAATGATTTTCATTTAAAGCAAAACTCAAACCCTTTCTTAAAGGCCGACACCATTCCTGTTTCAGACAACCTCACAAATTAATGTCAGTTTTAGACAACACCTTTCTCCCAATGCAGGCCACGGATCTGATTCCTTCTCCCCCCCTTCTCAAGCATTTTCCACAGCAAAATTTAGCAGTGGAAACACCTTTCAATTCCAAAATTCAAGCCACTCCTTGTAGTAGCGGCAACCAGACATCATCTCAATAGCCCTACTCAAACACTGTTCAAAAATGCTGCCACGATACTGAATGACCACTGGTTTTCACATTACTGACATTCCTAAGTTCTCACGGAGACTTACTCGCAAGCAGGGGAGAATCATCTAAGCTATCTGATGATTTCAGGCCTCAGATTAAGCATTTAATTTTTCCATCTAGTAAAATGTAAGTAGATTTTTAAACAAACCTCATTATAAACAAGCTTAAAAAACAAGAAACATCCATTTGTCTATTCAAAAATAAGAATAAATTTTATAAATAACTCTTTACTATTCTCTCTGCTAGCTAGATCATCCTCAGACTACTCATCAAAAAAGAAAATTCAATAAGATTCCTCCAAAAAGCTTAACTGGACTAGGTTCAAACTAGAAACCCTTTCCATCCTATTTAATGAATTACTGGAAGTTCCCTCCCATGTGCCACATTTACACTGACAAAATGCCACAACATTTCTATTATCTTGGATTACTTTGGATCCTGGAACACTTCACTGCCTTAAAGGTTCTCCACACTCTATGCTTCACTTGTCAAAAATTTAAGTTAAACTTCCTCCAAAACAAACCATCCCACAACAAGATACCTGCAGACACTATTGCTCACCCTAGCAAAAAAAGAGTTATGAAAAACAGAACTTACCAATCAGGAAAGACAATCAATACAAAAATTCTTCCTAAAAAGTGGAATTAAATTAAAACAAACTGAGATCCAATTCTGTTTATAAAATCTTTATATTCTCTATTGAAAAAAATCTAATGGCATTTTTCAGTAAGGCAAGTCACTATAATCAAGTCCACGTAAGATGTGAGACCTAAAATAGTTCAGTATTTCCTCAGCAATGAAAACTATTACTTGTTTCTGGAGACCTAAGGACTTACTCTACTGCTTTTTTAGGTTTTTCTTCTAACACAACTGAGTCTCTCGTTGCCTTGCGCTGTTGCTTCAGCTTCTCTTCCTCGGCTAGGTAGAGATGTTTCAGGTGCTCTGGGTAAGTATCGGCAAACTGAGCGTCCGATTGTATCCCAACCTTCCTTCCCTTTCTTAACAGCTTTCTGTATTCTCTTTGGATCTTCTGTTTCCTCCGAAATGCAAATCCTTGTCCTGAAAAAAATGGGAAAAGGGAGTTAAATACATGGGCACTAAAGTCATACCAAGCACATTAAACCAGGGCCATTTCTCATCTATTTTCTACCCTAAAAACAAAAAAGTAAGCAGCTGCTTTCACTAAATTTGGTAAGTTGGTGATTCAAAGCAGGACACTGGTAAAAATCTGATGCCTACTGCAGCACTGTAGCTGTCAAAGAACTGCAGAAAATTTTCACCTGAACTCTTAAAAAAACAGGCCACTGCACACACACTACTTAATTTACACTGAAGACCGCACGCGTTTGCTAATACTTCTTCATGTCCTAAGAAACGATGTGGCAACATTTCATTTAATCTCCTGCTTTTGACAGCAACACACACAACATCAGACCAGATCCCTACAGACATCATCAAGAACACAGTAATTGTAATACTGGCTGCTTAAGAAGCCTGAAGTTGCAATATCATAGCAGAAAAGAACAGCGGGAGCTATTAAACTACACTGTATTAACATGTTATTAGGGCTTCTCAGAAATACATTGTTTTACTCCTGGTTATCTTCTTTCTAGATCAGTTCAGAAAAAAAACCTAAATATATCAGAGAATATATCATATATATCAGAGAAGCTGCACCAGACAAGTGTCTAAAGGAAGCACCATGCAACGGTGGTTTCGGGCTCACCTGATCTACAGCTGCACACCAGCAGCCATGCAGCGAGTGAATGTCACACCCTGAGCAGCTTTTCCTAGGAGTGCGCAACCGAACTGACCCTGGCACCCGCCTTGCTGCAGACACTGCTGCCAAACACGCGCCTGGTGCATTTGCTCACACTACGGCCGCTCGCACTTGGAGTGAGTTTTCTGTTGAACGCGAGCATTTAAGTCTTCGCTTCATGTCAAGCGTTACCCACGTGGGCTGCTCCTCGCGGGCAGCTCTCCCGTCACAACTACCCCAGTTCAGGGGTAGTTCCCCAGTTTAGCCCAGCGGCTCTCCC